ATATTTTTAAATTGGTATATTGTATTATTTAGCCAACAGTTATACGTATGCACATTTCATTTAGTTAAGTTAAGATCAAGCAAGTGTATTTTATAAGTCGGTAGAAGCATTGTAGAAGAAAGACCTACCTACATCAAGAAAACCTACTAAAACAACATATCAAGCATATGCACTTATTCCCATGTATTTTTATTTCATATTGGATATGTTTTTTAGTCGCATAGTCATACCTCGTACCGTATTGGAAGATTTTGCTTCATTTAAGTTCACGTTAAAATAATTACCGTTGTAATTATTGAGAGCAAAATAAAATTATGCTGGGTGCGTAAGTAAGTACGAACATTCAAAAGTTGATTGGAGCAAATACACTGACATTTTCGTTGAGACAAAACGTTCGATTTGTTGTTGTTGTTGTTGTTGTCGTTGTTGTTGTCGTCGTCGTCGTTGTTGTTGTTGTTATTGTTGTTGTTGTGGTTTAACTCTATGATGTTTTTTATTATGTTTAAAATTTCTTGAATTTTGTCTTCACAAATTTTTTCATTTTTTTTTTAAAGTTTGGGTTTACGCCAAATTTTTCACTCATTTTATAACTTATTTTCAAATATTTTTGTAAATGATGGTCGTTTAAAAAAATGTATACATTAAACGAACACTTGAAATAATTTACATGCAAAAGTGGAAATTTGAAGAAAAAACTTGTAAGCTCTGTTTGCAGCTGCCGAAAGAATGTACAGAGAAAAAAATCGAAAGTTGTTTAATAGATGAAACAACTTGTTGAAATATTTTTCAATAAATCTCGAATTTGAAAAATTTTTCTTAAATGTTTGTACAGAGTTAATCTGAATGTATTAAAACGTTGGTTTGACATTTTAATCTGATTGTATTAAATTATAAATTTGATTTGACATTTTCTGTGAACGTTTCAATATACCTCGTATAAATTTAATTAGTGTTAGGTTTGTAAAATTGATTTGTAATACTTTCCTAAAGACGATGACGCATTTATGATTTAAACTTATTTCTACTTTCCATTACAACTATTTTACTTTCTCTTAGTTTTGTACACCCTATCTGTTTATTTTTTCTGCCTGTTAAATTTTTTATCATTTCGAATTTATTTCTGCTGTTATGGATGCTGACTGCTGTAACCAAAACTCTCATGCTGAGAAACTGATGCTATTTAACTTAGCATGCAATTTTCAAAATTTTAATTCAAGGGCCCATTCTTCTAGCTTAAAAATTTAAAATCCAACGTCTCATCATTAACTTTTATTCATCATTACAAAACTGAATTATTTTGTCTTTCGAAACAAGTTGTTTTATAATTTTTTAATCCAGTGAGCATTTGGTAGACAATTTATGAGATCTCATCGGTATCGTATCTCCGCGGGAACTTTCATCTTCGTCCTTCTTATCTTAACACGCATTACTCATTCAACCGAATTTGCTGATTGGTTAATTTTGTTATGCATTTTTTATGGAACAATTATTATTATTATTATTATTATTATTATTATTATTATTATTATTCTCTCTAAGATATTCCTCAGAGGTTGGATGGAGTACGAATACTTACCTACCCAATGTTGTCCGAGTATGAGGTCTATAAATATAACTTTGAAATTTTCAGTAGATGCATTGCCAATTTATAAATGGCAATGTGGAATCTGTCACATGAAATTTAATTTGACAACATTTCATGAACGATAATTTGATTTTCACCAATTAACAGTAACTAATTTATAAAAAAATATTACAAAATGAAAATGTTTAACCATAACCGGTACGACGCAGATGACTAAATCAGATAACTGATGATAAATTTTTCGTCAGATCGTCAATAACAACTCTCAGAATGGCCGAAAACTTAATTGCCATTTAATGTTAACATGCATCATTCTTATTGATTGTTTGCTTTGGGCTTTTTGTTCATAAGGTTGCAAATTCAAAGGTGTGATTGTAAATGTGCATCTCTGATGTGAGCATTTAAGCAAGCCTAAAATTAATTTCTTTACTCATCAGAGCTTGTTTGTTCATCGTTGCGTTACGTTAACTAATTTATGAAACTTTTCAGACAATGTCGAAAAAATTATCTTTTGTTGGAATAAATATTTGTTAGGTAATTTTATTTTTTAATTGTGTATCACTTCATTGATTCTTATTGCTTAAGTTTTTGAATGATGCAGTGCCATACTTCAACATGCGATCAAACATTTGCGTGGATGCAATGCGGTTCAGAGTTGTCTGACTAGCGAGTGGGAATTATTGAAACATTTTATTTGGATATAAATATTGAAAGTGAGACGATAGATTAATTTTTCATTTTTATTAACGGCCACTTGTTTATAGCAAAACAGTCGCCAAAAATAAGAAATATGCTGTTTATCACGAAAATGATGAAAAAAGAGAGGTTCACCCATACTATAAAAATTTAAAATTCGCAATCGGATTAGGGAATTGGGCACAATGAAAAAACGGATTAATAATAAACCGACAAAATCTTGTTGGTGGAAATTATAACATCAACAACAACAATTACAACAAATGCATTCTTCATTGCAGCAACTACCTCGCCATGCGCAAACATCATAGTCGGTAAAGTTTATAAGTTTATATTTAACAACATACGCTCACATGTGATCAAAATAAAGTCATACGCTTTCGCAAACATTACAACCATGTTAACACACGCGCACGCACGCACACGCACACAACATCATTTCTATTGATTTCCATTACCTTTTGGTTACATTGATTCAGTCAGACCTCACCGATATTTATTTCAACACACTGCAGATTTATCTGTCTGTAGCATATACAAAATTGCTTTAATAAGAGCTGTTAATCCTTTCAAAAATTCCTTTGCATCAGTGAACATGACAAATCAAAATAACATATATTTTACATAACTATTAATTTTTACGGTTCAACGGCATGTTTGGAGGTTGTACGTTGTGCGCTTGTTTCGTGGTGCGGATATGCTCACTTTCACTTGAAACATAAAATGAGCAGTTGTAGTCTTGCAAACCTCTTATGAAAAATGGCCTTTATAAATAATAAACGCAATTTTATAAACAATTTTTTAACGAAATGAAAAAATATTTCAACATCAATAAAAATAAATAATATCGAGGTAACAGTTTTAAAACGTTTCTTTAAATTTCCTCACGCTGTCGATGTTTTCAATTAAAGTTTGTTCAGTTTTGAATGTTTTGAATCAATTTCCAAACGGCAACTGGGGTTGGCGCTCAAATGTCTTTCGTACTCCCGTAGTCTTACGCGGTGTGTGCAGGACGAATTTAGAAAACTTTATTAACAATTAACTGTCCTATTAAACTCTCCAATAAAATATTTCGTGAAATCCGTAATTTTTTTTCTAAATATTGAAAGGCAAATTTAGATATTTTGTTTTGGAGCATAAGAATTTCATTCAAATTTGAGCCTTACGTTTGTCCTATTTTATGTCATTCTAATGAGGTGTAAATCTAATGCAGTGCATAAATGTGTTGTTTTTATTTATCTAGTTGGAGACACTTTAATTTGCTTGTTTAGCTAGAGCGCCATTGAATTATTGATATGCACGCGGTATAAATGTATCTATCTGATTGATTGATTAAATGTAATGCAGCAGGAAAATGTAGCAGGGTAATGAATTGCACGTTCGCCCACAGCAGACGTTTCCAGGTGTGCACACGTCATAACCAACCAACCAACCAACCGACCACTCAGTCAATGTTTGCCTAGGTGCTACAACAACAGCTACCACATATTAGAGGACCATGAATCGCAATTAATGTTCTGATACTCACGAAGCTTCTGTTTATTTAGCTCTCATGCACAAGCGTACAACTGCACATACATATGCACACATCTACACCTACACACGCTTGTATATATATAATATATACACACACACAAAGGTTTAGATCATGTGTGAGGTTGATAGCGAATGATAGCATAGAAATTGCGTATGCATAATGAAGCAAGTTGCAATAATTGCATCGCTCCTCTTCCCTCCCAATCGTCGCTGACAGACAGTTTATATTTCATATTCTACATCTTGTTTTTTTAAACAACGCTCACGCAATGATTGCATTACTAAACAGAATCAACAGAGACACAAACTTTGTGATACATAAATTAAAGTAGCGAATTTTCTTAATGTTGACGCACATGCGTACACACACGTATTTTTAGTACACACACACCTTATCAAATCTAAAACATTGATGTAATTTATTTATAAGTTTTTTATGAGGCGGAAAAGAGCGCGCACGTAAGGCAAACAGAAATGAGCAATATAGGAAATATTAATTCCTAGCATATTTGTTGGTTCATTACATTAGCAGGCCGGCCGGCGGTGAAGATAAGCAGTAATAAATTATCAGTCAATGCGGCAACATTATGTGTGTGCCCAATCGTTGATTACTCTTATCTCATCGAAGATACCGAGCACTACCTTATTTTTTACACATTATGTTTTTTAATTAGGTTAGATGTTCAACCCTGCGTGCATTAATATTAATGGCTACATTAATTTGCCTCACAAACGATTAAACTAAATAATGTATATAAATGAATAATGAGTGAATACGTAAATTTAAACATAAGTTATACACGTACATCACATCTCGTCCAGTAGCACGAGTTTCTTGGCGACTCGGCCGGACACATTAGAAGCGCTACCACCGCGAAAGAGATGTCATTGCAACGTGATGCACAGCAGCCAGCACGGTTCACTGCCACAAATCAGCTCGAAAGATTCGCCTGCAACTCCGATAACAAATTTTTGTGATAAAGTTGATTCCAATAAATCTCAACAAGAAGTCAGATGGATAAACCAGCCAGTATTAACCTCGCCACATCTGCATCATCATCATCATCTTCGTCATCATCAGCAGCCTCGAAAGATGACGTCACCTTCAGTGCTTTTGTCTCAAGTCCTGCAACACATGACAACTTTAAAATCTGGTCGTCAACTTGATTCACATCCAGCATACATGCATCAACTTTCACAATCGTTACCTTTAAATGAATTTTCTCAATTCAGCCAGCAATCATCCTTTCATCTGCCATCGCAACAATCGCATCGCCATCGACGAAAATCTCGATCATCGCCGCAACAATCGCCACTTCATCAACAACAGCCTCCGTCGGGGTACGTCACAGTGAACGTCGGAGGCGAGAAACATAAAATTTCGTGGGCTTGCTTAGGCCGCCTCCCACACGCCAGATTGGGCAAACTTTGTAGATGCACCACCATCAAACAAATCAAAGATCTTTGTGATGACTTCAACCTAAGCAAAGGCGAAACTGAATTCTTTTTCGACAGACACCCAAAATCTTTTGATGTTATTGTCAATTTCTACAGAACTGGCAAGTTACATTTGATAGCCGATGAAAGTTGTATACTTGCATTTGCAGAGGACCTCGCATATTGGGGCATTGATGAGTTGTATTTGGAGTCTTGCTGTCAACAAAAGTCAGTTTTAAAACTAATTTTTATTATCGTTTAATTTAGTAGGAAGAAACACTTGAATTTAAAATTTTTAATCATTGTTCTTGTTTTAAACCTTCAAATAGTAGATAATATGAATTAAAAATTTTAATGCCTTTTATACTTAAAATTAAAAAAGAAAAATGTTTCAATTTGCTCATCTCATTGTAATTAACGACCCGTGTAAAATGAAACGTAATTAAATAAGTCTCTTGTTTAACTAATGTAGATACTTTCAAAGAAGGGAGCAGGTGTTTGATGATTGTAAAAAAGAAAATGAATATCTTTCTAACAACGATGACGACGACAATGGTGGTGACGCCAGTGTAGATGAACAACATCACCAAAATGATCACATCGACTCGAATCAAGTTAACAACACCAGCTGCAGAAACAAATTTTGTGATATTTATGAAAGTTACAAGAAAAGAATTTGGAACATAATGGAAAAGCCTAAGTTTTCAAAAGCTGCAAGAGTTAATCAATTTTTAAAATATTCTAATAACTATGTAATTAAAAATGATTTAATATATGTGTTATATATGATAACTCATATAAATTAATTTAACAATATCTATAAAGTCATTTGTTATTCTAAAAGTTTTTTTTAAATTAACTCTAACTTTGAATTAGCGTTAGTTTAGTTAGTTTCGAAAAAGATTTGAATAGATGAGTTTAGATTCGACCTAACCAACCAATTTTAACAACGCAACGCAAGCATTCAATCATAATTAAGTTTCCCTGTTGACAATTTTGAAATACCCTATCCACATTCCATGTGAGGTTGTAACGTCGCATTAGATTAATTTACTTTTCAACATTCAATGTTTCCCTATTCTATAATCAGATTCTATTATTCGAAGTAAAAAGTTGTGATCGTAAATGAAGAACAATATCAAATATGTCTAACAAATGAAAAAATTAACAAATGAATGAATAAATAACTATATATATATATAAATATATATATATATATATATATATATATATGTGTGTGTGTATACATATATAATATTATACAATATATATATATATATATACATATATATATATATATCGTATAATACTATCACCGTTGCCATCTATATGATTGCGATTTGGTTAGGAGCAAACTTAATGCCTCCGGATCAAGAGCATTAAAAAGCTATAAATTATCAGTCCTATTTGATTATATTTATATTGATCTCTTCACTTACATCAGAAATGGCAGCAAATATTTATCTATATTTGTTTTAAAATATCATAATAAATTATAAAGATTGGTTATTTATTTCAGGTTGTGGCAATGGTATCTGTTTTCTTTATATTACTGTCAACAGTAGCACTAACTTTAAACACGGTGCCATACTTTCAGGGTGAAAATCATACCGAAAATGAACATTTAGTGAGGGTACGTTTGTTTGACATTATGCTGGAATCGATAAGATGTACAATTTTCTTTACAAAATCGAAAATAAAAATGCATATTTCACAGGTTGAGGCAGCTTGTATATGTTGGTTTACAATCGAATACGTTACACGGCTTTGGGCCGCACCTGAAAAGAGTAAATTTCTGAAAGGTCCATTAAATCTGATTGATCTGTTGGCGATGTTGCCGTATTACGTCAGTTTGTTTCTTTCAGAAGAAAAGTACAAAGGTCAAGAACAGTTCAACAATATTAAACGACTTGTTCAAATTTTCAGAATAATGAGAATTTTTAGAATTTTAAAACTTGCCCGGCATTCTATAGGACTTCAATCTTTAGGCTACACCATGCATAGAAGTTACAAAGAATTAGGCCTACTAGTCAGTTTCATCTCCATCGGAATTTTAATATTTTCAAGTTTGGCATATTTTGCTGAAAAGGATTTCCATGGAACTAAGTTTCTTAGCATTCCAGAAACATTTTGGTGGGCAGCCATAACTATGACAACGGTTGGTTACGGTGACATTTATCCACAAACTCCTTGGGGTAAACTAGTTGGAAGTCTCTGTTGCATCTGTGGAGTGCTCGTGATAGCCATGCCTATTCCAATCATAGTGAACAACTTTGGAGAATATTACAAAGACCAGGTGAGTTTTTATAAACGATTTTTAGAGAAGCAATGAGCCTATTTCTAAATAGTTAATTTCCAGATGAGAAAAGAAAAATCAAAAATCCGGAGAATGGCATGGGAGAAAACGATGAAGGAAAAATGTTATTCGTTAAATAAAGTGAGAATTTGAGCTGATTATGAAATTTTCAAGCTGCATATGTGTAATTCGGCTAATTTCTTTGCAGAAAAATAGTATCGTCGACGTTGTTTTAGACAACGAGGATAAAGGTACAGTAAGTAGAACTTTTAACGAACGACTGTTGGTGAACGGTTTGTGGTACATTAACGAGATGTGGGAGACACAAACATCTCTTTCGGACATGGAGGAAGAAGGTTCCATTGCATCATCCTATAACTCCAGACTCGACGATTCTCACCTTGTTACAGTTAATAGTGATCTTTTAAATCTAATTATTGAAATGCTTATAAGTTACTAAAAATTTAATAAATTTTTCAGCCAAGGGGTGAAAGAAAACGCAGTTTGATTAATTTTTCCGCACTGACAAAATTTAGAAAGACGAAACTGTTTCGACAATTTGACTTATTAAGTGGGTAGTCTCAAACTTTACTGAAATAAAAAATTCAACTGTTTAATAAATTTCAAGACTCGAAGCGCAAAGCTAGCCACGACTGGAGCAGCCGAAAGGATGATATGAAATCCCCAATGAAGAAACTCTCCCTTCCTTACCTCTACATTCCAAAGTAACATTTTGGTTTTTTGTGACAGAATTATTCATTATTTAGTAATTATTAAATTTATTTCTTTTTTTTAAGTGTAAAGAAAAGATCTCTCTCACTTATAGTAGAAAACACGCAAGTCCTCCGTAACATAGAAAGAAATAACCCAACAATTCAAGAAATGGCTAAAAACGGAGAAAAGTACTAATTAGTATTTAGATCAAAACTCAGCCTAATTTTACAGAACCCTTCATCTCTTCAGTGGTGTCTCGATCAAAAGCTCAAACCTCACGTACATTCAAATGCCTTATAATTCACCTCACATGCATCCAAAAAATTTAGTATTGTGATATGATTACGAAGAATAATTTCCCTGTCTGCTGTCATTAAGCACTAACTATATTTTTTAGTCTTTTTTTGCTTTTGATAAATAAAACAACAACACACGTTTAGACGACATTTTCCCCGAGATCGGGGGTTGCCGTTTGGCTACCTATGATGAAACCGAAATACCCCTCGACGCCATTCCATCATAAGTAATTTATTTGGCTAATTTTTACGCAGGACGCCCTTCCTTACGCAACCACAGTTATAAGCGGTGGGCCTAGCCTTTGATGATCCAACATCACTGACAAGGCAGTGAGGGTCAGTTTAATGTCATAAACAAGACATGCTTTTGATAAATAAAACAAAATTAATTTTCCAAATTTGTTCGGCAAAAAAATTTATCAAACATTTCAAATAAAAAACCCATCAGAAGATATAAATGTTATTTATAAATACGTATTTACAAAAGAAGATTTACACTGTACACATAATTATAGTTTTGTCCAATAATTCTAACAAGCAAGTTATCATGAGAATAAGGAAATAGGATATGCATTGGCTTCTTCTTACGATTTAACAACCAAGAGAGCCTTCTTTCTCCTTCTCTTCTTTTGTTTATTTTGTTGGACAGCCTCAGCAAAAATACTCAACGAATTGCCTTCTTCTAATTTTTGCTGCAAAAACTTTAATCCCATCAAATTGTAGCCCAACATGTCCTATAACCGAATCAAAAAATACACATTTTAGTCAGTAAAAAATAAATAAGAATATGAGAAACAGAAACCTTAATTAGCTTAATGTGAACGAGGGATTCTTCATTGACGTTCTCCAGAACAGAAGAAAACAACTGGTTACTGACGATCTGACCCGCGTGTATCCTGTTGTTGTAATTATAAAGTGTAATCGTTTAAACATGGGGGCAAATAAATTGTTGACGTGCAATATTGTGTGTACGAATAAACTCGGATAATAATCAATCAAATTCTAGATTTCAGATAGTTTCATAACAAGCGCTTAAGAAAAAACAGCAAAACACTGAATCCAAAAAGATGATGCAACCTTAGAATGAAGAAGAGACATCTTGAAACGAGCTCAACTTCACGACCTTTATTGAGGAAGTCAGCGAGTAGTGGAACCAGCTGCATGATGTAGGAGAATGGTGTGATCAACAGGCACTCTTCAACGTCACTGCAATTATGAAAAATTGTAAATCAAATATTTGTTCATTTAGTTATCAATTTTTTTATAATTTATCGTCAAAACCTACTTTGACTTGATTTTCTTGATGACTTCAAGTAGATAATCTTCAGGTACTGTAACTTTGAAGGCTTGGAAGAGTAGGTGAACTGCTGGTGGCTTTATCTGGAGACAAATATCAATTTCAAATATCGACCAACTTCATTTTTTAGTTATTTCAACTTTAATGAGATTGCTTTTAGTTCTAATTAATAAAAAATTGCATAAATTTAAATGCTGGGTAATGGCATAATTGCAAAGTTTGCTTTTTAAGATTAAAGGAGGTTAAATGAAGAACATGATTGACTGACTGAGAATTAGTCATTAAGATCTTTCAAATTATTTCAGAGTGATTCGAATTATTTGTGGCTGCGTGTTAAAGTTCATGAAAAATTTGTGGAATCTGTTAACTATTGCCGACAACTCTAACAAAAACTACGTAGCTAGTGGGTGAGTGATTGATGTAGGTGAACCACCACCAGACAGGAATGGTCGGTTGTTAAAATTATGCACGCGGTAGAAGCAAAATTAAGTAATGTACATTGCTAACCTTTTTGCCTGACTGCTTACAAAGACTCTCATAATCTAAAATTTTCTTTTTTTCTTCCTTATACAAGTCAAGAGCTTCACATAACTTTTCTGTCTGTAGTTGTATGTTGAGTGAAGTTATCAAATGTTAACAAAATAATGATCAATCTGCTAGAGAATATTTTTTACTGAAACAAAAAATTAATGAAATTAAACTGAGTGCATGCTCTCCAAATTGATCAAATAAAAAAGCCAAAAAAACAAATAAAACTAACAGCAGATAGGGTGTGGAAAGTTTTCTTGCCAGAAATGCCAACTTCATCAACAGATTCGCCTGGCACCTGCATCATCATCATTATCACCATCAACAACAACTACTATTACTACTACCACTACTACCACTCTTATTACTACTTCTACTGCTACTACTTTATCATTATTGTCGTCAACTTCATCAAAGTCCCGGACGTCGTCATCACTTCTTCAGCATCATACATCATCATCATCATTGTTGTTATTATTATTATCATCATCATTTATATGTATGAAACTATAAACATCAACAAATATTCCACTCGTCACTGACTACAGTAAAATGAGAGTACACACGGAGTACTACACTCAGTAGTTATTACTGGAGCTGACGACTCTTGCACATTAAGAAATAGTGCAACGAGCAACAAAAAACAAACATGAACGTCAAACAAACACCAATACAACAAATTAAACAATATAAATCAAAATAGAACACAAACTAATCGTAACAAAGAAAGACACAACAGCACACAGCACAACAAAATCAAAAGGCAGACCTGAATATTTTCCCTCATAGCCTCCTCCTCTTCCTTCTCTCTGACCTGCAAAACAACAATATTATTATAACGATTATAAAAAAAATTATTATTCTTATTGTTATTCTTATTATTATTGAAAAAATAATAACGACTAATAACCAATATTTAGTTTCAAGTGTTCTGATGTAGAAATGAAATATTTCAATCAGTTAGCAAACCAATCAATCAACTGAATAGACAACCAGCCAATCAACCAGCCAACCAATCAAACAAACAGCCAATCAATCAACTGAATGGACAACCAATCAGACAGCAACCAACCAACCAACCATTTCCTTTTCCTCATCAAGAATAAGTATTTCTTCAGTTTTGTGCCACAGCCGGATGGACATGTCTGCAGATGCACTGACCACATACTTACCATTGGGACTGATTGATAAGTGGTGGACAGCAGCCTGGTGACCCTACCATTAAAAGGTTAAAAGTCATTCTCTATTTTGCTCTTGCTTCAAAGGATGATGTTGTTATTAAAAAATTATGTAAGCGAGTTGTCGTAAAAAACCGTGTGTGTGGCAACAATGAAATGTGACCGAACTTCACATTTGAAATGGATTATTTTTGATTCCCCTACTCGCGTCTACAAAGTCAACAAAACATTTATCACATTAGATGATGCGAGAAATGTTTCGCGCTAGTCCAGGCCACAGTGACGATATTATTCCTCTTAACGTAAACCGTTAATAAACAATCACCTGTCTATTACAACATTATAAAAATTATTTCCTCTCATTTTAAGCTGAATTCCTCTTAGCAAAGAAATATTAAAAGTGCCAATTTTTAAAAATCATGAAGAGAAAATCAGAATTAAAAACAATCGAGACGGCGATAACAAACAAAACACAATCAAGGCAATGTAATATAATTAACGAGAAATATCCATATAAGCAACAAAACAGAACATGAAATGAGTGTGGAATGAAATGAAGAAGATAGGAAGATGAAGAAGAAAGGAAGATGACGAAGAAAGGAAGATGACGAAGAAAGGAAGATGAAAAAGAAAGGAAGATGTTGAAAAGTATGAGAAAGAGAGAGAGAGAGAGATAGAGAAAGAGAGAGGAGGAGGAGGGAGAGAGAGAGAGAGAGAGAGAGAGAAAGGAGGAGGGAGAGAGAGAGATCACCTCAAGTGTCATGACGAGCTGGAAGGAATCAGCATCCCACTTTTTGACTTTCATGTCAACACTGCAGGTAAAGAAGAGATGAGTCTTCGGCACAAACTGCAGACACGTGATTCTGGGTGAAAATTTTTTACATTTAAATGATTGAACAAATAGATTCAAAGCACAGGACTATGGCAAATGAAAAGAACAATGAATCTAACTCCAGTACAACAAATATTTACACATTTTCCTCCCGACCACCCATGTTCATTATCTGCTCGTCGTCACCAGTACCAACTTTTGCATCATCAACATCGCTAATAACGTCATCCTTATATAGCATCACCCCACAATCACCATCAGTGACTTACTTGTCGTCATGGGCCACCTTGATAATCTTCCTACACTCACCAAAGTCCATGCTCCAAAGTTTGACGTCCTTATCAGAGGACCCAGTGGCGATGAAGTGCGTGTCGGTCGACATGTCGATACAAGTTACAGGCATGTTGTGAGAGTACAACGTGTGTAGCATCTTTGGGAGGTGTTTATTTGTTTGGGCGTTTTGGTCATGCATCAATCAATCAATCAATCAATCAATCAATCAATCAATCAAAACGATGAACCAACCTTCAAGGAATCAGTGAAGTAGATGTAGGCCTTCATATTCAGACAGCCGACAGCAATGTATTTCTGGTCAGAACTGGGAAGTTATCATCAACATCATCAAATATTTTGCATTTCGTCACCGAACGTCATCACATGTTTATCAACCACGCCACCATCATCTTCTTATCATCATCTTCATCGTCGTTTTTTTTTAAAATAAACTCCACGAATTCGTCAGACGTAACAAACGAAATTTGAATCTTTAATTTAGCAACAAATAATCAGCACATACGCGATTCATTCACTTGGATTCATTATTATAAACACACGCTGAAACACGCATCTTCTATAAGAACATGCTAGAAAGGGATCTAAAAACTCAACGTGTAACTCTAGAGAGTTCCAAAACATAACATAACATTACATAACACAATTAGTTTAAACATAGCCGATCGACGAACTCCAAATTTCATCATTTTAGTATAGGCCACATGCATTTTTTATCATACCGTTATTTTATCATATCATTTAACCTATCAACCTGTTTACAATTTAGATAATGAAGAAGATGCGAATCTTCTAAAATAATAAAAAACTAAAAGATCTCTACACAACCACAACCCATAATGATCAACCCATGGAAAACAGAAATAAACGCATACAAATTTTTTTTAAAACGTTCCTACGATATTTTCAAAAGCCATTTTAGGGCACTAGACTTCCGAGACGTTTGTTTTGTCACCAAGTCTCATTATCGCGATATAAGGTGGGTGGGTATTAAAAGATAATAAATGTCAATCTGGAGAATATTAACCTGTACTTGAGGCACAGCACTTCATCAACGGTCTGCAACTTCCTCTTTGCAGCTACAGTAAGTGCTTTGCTGTAATGTACAATTTGCTTGTGTTACAAATCATTGTCAGATGAATATATAAGAGTTTCACAGAAGTAAATAAATATCGAATAATTATTTGCAACTGCTTGCTTAAATCGTGATTAAAGACGTTACTAATGTCCATGCAATAGAAAATGGTTATTCTTATAATTTTGACACTTTCTTTTATCACTGACTCAATAGTCGAGTTAATAATTATAAAAATAGAGAATTTAATTTAAATAATATGATTAGAAACTAGAAGAGCGGACCTTGACTGTTGGTCCTGTTTCGATTCATTGTTGAATTCAAACTCCCAGAAGATAACTTGCCTGTCAGTGGCGCCAGTTATGAAGCCCAACTGCAATCAGTGTTTGTTGGTTGAATCTCTCGTAAATAACAATTTATTATTCATTCTTAAAGATGTCGTTATCCAATCCGTTATCCAAGAATGGATATTGTCATTCATTGATGAAGTTTAGGTTCGATTATCAACAAACTCACAAAATTGAAATGAAATAATAAAATAATTAATAATGTTATAATACTCGCTGTCGTAACCGGTTTACGATGCGACGGGTTCAAATCTTCGATTGAATAAAATACTCCAAACAGTTATTAAACTTTATTTACAGAAGAAATCAACTATTATTAGTTATTAAACTTTATTTACAGAAGAAATCAACTATTATTAGTTATTAAACTTTATTTACAGAAGAAATCAACTAATCGTTTATTTCCAGTAAATTCGCACTAACGCAACAATTAACTTTTAAATCTTTCAAAATCTATCGCTATGACAACGTCAACAAACAATTCAAATATCGCTTTAAATAATTCACCGAATCGCTATACACAAAATCACGAATTTCACTAATCACGAATATCACTAATCACGAATATCACTAATCACGAATATCACTAATCACGAATATCCCAATCACGAATATCACCAATCACAAATATCTTGCGACGTGCGCTTATATACTCTTCGCAAGCGTCGTTTCTAGATTCTTCCCGATGGTCCGATTCCAGCATACTCTAGAACGTTCCAGTCACTAGAACATTCTAGAATACGCTAGAATCTAGTGCGTTCGGTAGCACGGTTATAACAATAATTTAGATATATTCAGTGTGAATGCAAGAAAGAGTAAACAAATGAAAGAACGAACGAATGAACGAACGAACAAACGAATGAATGAATGAATGAATGAGTAACCTTGTTAGGTGCCAGAGACATGGCATTGATGCAGCCAGTGTGTTCTCTGGTTTGTTCGACCAACTGATTGGAAGAGATTTCGTACATCTCGAGCTCTCCCGTCTGCAAATTTCCAGACAAATTTTTTGCAATTTTCTTAGTTGTTGACACTTATAGCTTTAGTAATCATAAACAAAAACACGCACGCACGCACACACTTTATTCACTCAACCATTGCACACAGCCAACAAGGAAGGCACAAGTATACATTAGTACATTTCACAACTTTGTCGTCATCATCTTCATTTAAATCACGCTGGTTTTGATGACGACATTTATGACATCATCAAACCAAGATCGCCATCATCATCCTCATCATCATCCTCATTCTCCTCACCATCCTCATCATCATCCTCATCAACATCACCATCCTCATCATCATCCTCATCAACATCACCAGGAGCGTGCACCTTCTTGCCGACAATGGCCTGCCTGTCCTCGAGCGCAAACATGCAGCAGGTGACGTCTGAGCAGGGGATGGTTCGAAAGCATTGCAAACTTGATCTGAAGAGCAAACCATGGTGATAAAATTATTTAAATCATGAAATGAGAAATTAAAAGTTTTTAAATAGAAACCTAAAATTTGAAGAAAAGAAATAGTTTGAGGTGCGTAAATAATCAGCCAAACTTATCCGTGAAATGTCCAACCAAAATTAAAGCTGAAAATAAAACCAACTGATCATTTTGTAACTTTTACTTTCAAAAAAGCATTTAAAAAAAGAGTTCTCTGAGCAAAATAATCCTATCTTAAGCATCCAAACATTTATCAAATCAATGAAGTAACTCATCAACCAGCCAATCAGCAAACCAACCAAACACTCAACCAACCATCCAACCATCCAAATAACCTATTCCAAACTTTAATAGCATCAACAGAAGCTGATAAGAAAGAGAAGTTATCAGAACTGAATGCCAAGCATCTTGGCTCCTTGTAGTGACCGTAACCTATGAGACAATGTGATGAAGGGATTTGGTCTGCTGTTGATGTTGATGCGGCACCAACTTTCGATGATGTTGAAATGTCAAGGTCAAACTTGGCGAATGAATTATTGCGGTACATGACCATGATCTGTGGAGATGGAGAAGGTTCCATCAAATATTGTTCAGTTTTATGTTGCAAATATTCATTTTTTTATTTATTTGCGAAAAAAAAATTAAAAGGTAAAGATTATCCTTAAATTAAAAATTATAGTAGAGATTCAATAAGCTTACTTTTGCGTTGGTACCATTAATTTCAAAAAATTGGAAGGTCCTTATTGGATTTTGAAGTTTGTAGTACCCAACTCTTTTGTACAATGTATCAAAGTCGAAGCTCCCATCATCTGGTGGCTGAGCGTCACTGACTGATGGGTCGTGAGATTGCCTGGCATAAACAAATATAGGACTGTCTAACATAAACAAATAAAAGCTTAACATCAACAAATACAGATCTAAAAGAAACAAAAAAGATTAGATGTGAGAAAGTTGCATCAAATATAGGCAGGTGATTAACCAATTACAAACGGTTTATAACAGCAGCGCTTCTCATTCAAAAGGGAAAATAGAGAAATAAAATCATTGAAAAAATTATGAAATAAAATAAATCCAAAACAAACAGTTTCAATCTCCTCTTCTTCTCTCTCTTCTTTCTATGCTTTTCCCTCTCTTCATCTGTGCAGATTTTGAACAATTCCACCTCTGAATAAGTTCCCTGTAGTTTATTTCGAAAGTTGTAGTGTAATCCAGCGTGATCAGCGGCCATGTGTATTTGATGAAGTGATGTGTTGATGTGATGAGTTGAAGTTGCTGTCTTGCTAGTGAATGTCACGTTATCAGATTTAAATGACCCAATTTGTGAAAATTCTTTATACTAAAATGAAAATTTGAAAAAAATGAACATACATGGCAACCAAAGTACATGTCAGCATAAACACACATGGAAACCAAGCGACCTTTGCCCACTCTCTTGATCTCGCCCAACTTCACCAGCACAATGTTGTCCTTTTAATTACATCAATTATAAAATTAACTAACTCAAAATAAATGAAAATAAAAATTGACTTAGATGGGTGAAAGAAAGACCAGTGAGAAAAAAGTGAACTAACCATGCAGACATCTTCATCATCATTGCCCATTCTTGCTTCTCCGACATCAGCATGGTCAACTCTGGAAAGCTTGCTACGAGGTTTCGCAGCATCCGCACCAGCAGCTGTAGCCTCGGACATCTCAGTCGAGTCCTTATGTTAAAAAATAATTGAACGTTACGTCACGCTGCAGTTGGTGGGATTGAAATATTGGAAAGAAAAGGAAGTTCATAAAAATGAATATTCAAAATTTTACCACCTGGAAGGAGTTTGATGAATTGAAGCATTTGCTTGTGAATTGTGGAGAATATTTTGTCACACCTTACACAATTTAAAAATTTCTAACCGCTTACTACACATCTAGGAAGAAGAAAAAGAAGCAAGATGATCGTCATTAACTACCTTGAACGTGAGGCTCCAGACAGACAGGTGACTGTTTTTTATGCCCGTCACCATCAGGGAGGCGTTCGTAAGCAGGATGAAGTCGTATATCTGCCATCAAAGGAGAAAAATATAACAAAGGTTAAGGTCGTTTTACTGGTTCATCTGTTTAACATGTTTCAACGTGTTTATGGAAAATATTAACAGAAAAATTGCAAGGTTATGGAGATTTGAAACAAAATGCTATAAAAAGATGAAAATGATTCATTGACACACAGACCTCCTCATCATTTTCCATGATGGTTTTGAAACAATGTTGAGTCTGCAGGTCCCAAAATTTTATCTGCCTATCTTTTGAACTGTTAAATAAATGTTTTTTTAAATGTTTTTTAACGAACAAGAATTTCACAAGTTAATGTAAGCAGATTCGGTAGGCTTTTTCTAGATAGAGTAGCAATAAATTGAACGCATTACAAATTTTTTTTAATAAAAAAAATGAACCTGGTGATGAGAATGCCTTTATTTTGGAAGAACCTGACCTGAGTGATGACCCCTGTGTGTCCTTTCAATCGAAACATCCCTGACTCATCGACAACATCCCACAGGACAACATCTGTGTCCTAACGAAACGAGGTGGATGATAAGTAAAGAATGAAATCACTGCAACTAGCAAAATCAAAGAATAAAAACTAACCATGCCACCACTTGCTAGCTGAAGGCTGTCTCCATCGAAGTTCAAACAAGAAACTGGTTTTTTATGGCCGTTGAATGTAACGATGCATTCAGTTGTAACCAAATCAAAAATCCTGACAGAACCATTTGCATAGCCAGCAGCGAGGTAGTGGTTATCTGGACTGCTGGCCACGTATGTCACCTGGTGCTTGTCTTCACTGAGCAGTGTGGAGTGCTGGGTGGTGGTTTAACAATTCATCGGCAATCAAGATTTAATGAAATAGAGCAAAAGGAAATTGATACTTAGGACTGTTGTCTGAAAAAATGTCCAAGTGAAGAGACTAAGAAGGAAATTTGTAAACACCTTTTCACCCTTTCTCATATCCCAGACAACAACATTTTCACATGCCCCGACAGCACAGAGAGGTCCCTTCTGGCTTGGCTTGTTAACAATTGTGAAGTTCGACCAGGTCGATGCAACGATGTTGCACATTCCATCTGGCGCATAGCGTAAAAACTCTTTGGTCAGACCCATCTGAATCATGCATATGTTTGTATATTTAGCATGTATTATTACTCATCGTATTTAATTGAAAATTTGTCGAACATTTCTATTAAATAAAATTAAGTTTAATATGATAACATTATACAATGAACAGATAGGTCATAACAATACAGGACTAAGTAAATCCAATAAAACCTTCAAGAAAATTTAGTAGTTAAGGTCAAAGGTCACCAATGAATGAAGATTATAAGTATAGATAAGTTAAACATTAACTAACATTATAATCATTAATTAATCATTGAAGAAAAAATTTTAAAAAATCAAATACTTAAGTGGCCACTTTTATTTTTTAAGGTTACACAATTTAATTTAAAATACAAGCATTTGCCTTACATTAGAATTTAGATCAGATTATTTACTATTTATAAACTTAACTTTCTGACTATAAAAAATAGTTGAATTAATCAATTAATGAATTGGATTTAATATTCCAATTTTAAAATTCCAGATTGATATCATATTTTATTATCAAATAAAATTCATTTGTTAAAAATTTAAATTCACTTTTTCCTGTTTTTTACACTACAGTTCCTTTGAATTGGAGACTTCTTCAATTTCTTTCAAATAGTATTTCCTTTTCTATTAATTTTAACTTTGAAAAAAGTTATTAATAATTAAGTTAATTATTATAATTAAGAAGAAATAATTAATGAAAAAGTTGTTTTAATTATTAATGCAATTCAATTTTAATCAAATTCAAGGTTATCAGCAAAGTTCATCTTTAATTTTAATTTTTAATAAGTTTTAATTTAAAAAACTAATGATGATCAGTTTTATTTTATGTTTCAAAAGCTTCAAAAGCACATTTTAAAATAAATTCTTATTAAAAATTTAACCAAACTTACAATTGAACCGGATTCAATCACTACTACGATTATATTATAAATTTTAAATTACAATTTTTTACCATCACCAATGGAAAGCAACACACATACACATGGATAAACAAAACGAATTATCGTCCGTGAAACCATAGACCAGTCAAACTTGGTATTTAGATGTTGAAGAACAACGAAGCATAGTAAGTTTCTATCATTGCATATAGTTAAGCTGCTGTAAGATAATCTCAGTTTTCAGTATATGGGTTAGGTTCCATATAAGAGAATGGGAACCGAACACGTTTCCATACGTTCAATTTCAAATTGACACCTTCTTCGATGTGTCAAGATTTTTTTGTGCGGTTTTTCAACCAAAGGCTGCCCATGTTAAAACCAGTCTTTTTTTGCTTATTCCTTTGAACTGTATTTTTTATCGCTTCCTTAGTAGTAATCATGGATATACGATTATATATATGATATATCCATGGTAGTAATGTGTATCTGCGTCGTGTGGTTTAGATAGCAGTGTCTCGGATGAAAAATATCTGACGACTACGACCCCTCAAAAAAATCCGACTCCGACAAAAATCTCCAATCAGGACACTGGTGGATAGTACCTTTCTGCTTAAAAGCTTAACGAAACGCTATTTGACCGACACAACGCTATTTACGGATCTCGACTGCAGCGGCCCATAACGCGACAGAAACGACAAAGCGAAACGCATTATAAAGAATAAACAAAAAAAAAGTTTCTCCAGACAAAAATTTTTTTGTTTTTTTGATTTTTTTCGAAATTCTTGAGAAAAATGTAATTATCCTATATCCTATACTTTTTGCAACCTGAAAAACATTCTCAAATTCAATATCAAATAATATGATTGATACAACACTCGAATTTACATATTTTGACCGCAGTGGCTTACAACGTAGCAGAAGCAAAGTTAAAAATACTTGACGAAATAGAAAATAATTTTTGGCATATTCTGATTGATTATAACTATGAATTAATATGTAGACTATTTAGGAAAATGTGATTAATTATGAACTGTAGAAATGACAAATGATTAAAAATTCTGTTAGTCAAATTCATCAATTTCTCCGTCACTGAAATCGTAAAAGAAGTCGTCGTCGGCATTATTTTCAGGAAAACCACCGGGAGGATATAGCTGGTTGTAACACTTGGATTTCACATCAGAATAATGACTGTACGGGTTGAAGTTGTCTAGCTGTTTCAAGCAGAGCCAGCAAAAGAAAGATTTACATTTTGTGCAGGTCATTTTGTTGCATCCTTCATTTTTCTAAAATGCAAACAATATTAAGTTCTAAATTACATTATTAAAGTTTTTTAATGTAGTGTAAAAATCACTCACAAAGAAAATTATTCAAATATGAAAGCGCTAATGTTGTAAAATAATTTTAATAGATGGTGGCATTAATTGGTGTTAAGTTTTTTTATGGTATATACAAAAATTTTTTGACTAACCTCAATGTTAGATTTGCAATTCGGGCATTTTTTGCTGTTGGTCTCAAGCCAATTGTCGGTTTCCACTTGGCTCAAAATGTCCATGAACATCTTCTTGCCATATATTTTCTCAAGCTCAAGTTGTTCAGATTTTGTGGCTTCCATGTACTTGCTGTATAACCTCTTCATTTCCTCTGTAGTGTTTATCCAAGGATTTTAATCTTTATATTACGAATACTTTTGTATCATAAATGTAAAAAGGCTCGTATAGAAATATCAAAATTCAATTTATGTAAATTGGTAAATGAACAGTGAACCAAATTTTATCAAGAATGTTTTCCACTCACAGCAGCAATATTGATTCCGTTACTTCACTACAGTACCGAGTACAACGTTAATCGTAAAAGAAATTTCGAACATTAATTAAATAACATTTGCTTGAATTTTAAAAATTCATACAAAACTTGGTTAATCAATCAATCATCGTTTAGCGTCCAGAGACCCAGTTCTTCCGAGGTAGGACGTTGTTTTCTTTGCCATCAATTTTTTCGCCAAATTAGGCAATCAGATGTATCCATTTCATTTAAATTTAGAGCTTTCATGTCTTGCTCGATTGTTTGCGACCAGGACTTCTTTGGACGGCCTTTGGGACGTGTGCCAGGTACTTCAACATCTGCAAGAGAAGTTATGGCACTGTTTCCACTTCGTTTGACATAACCAAACCACCTCAGACGGTGTTGCCGGCATTCGTCTTTTATATCATCTAAACCAGCACGGCAAAGGATTTCGGTAAATTTGATGTGGTCCTTCAGAATAATTCGTTGCATCCATCGGAACACTTTCATATTGGTTCGGTTAAGTTGTTGTTCCAGTTTGGTTGTCATTGGCCATGTTTCTGCACCATAAAACAACACCGGACCTATCACAGATTTATAAAGTCTTGATCATAGTGTTAGTGGGATGTCACGCCGCATCAATATAGAGGCAAGGAGATGCCATTTATTTCAGGCTGCACGTATGCATGCTTGAACGGTAGCTTCCGCTGTTCCAGTACAATCCAGAACATCCCCTAGATATCGAAACGTTATGACTTTCTCTACCTTAATGGCTTCAAAAACATTGCTATTTCGAATTTTTCGAATTTAATAAATTATCATATATGATTTCGTATGCAATTTTAATGTATATATTTTGCTTTATTGAAATTTTATGTTGTTACTAACCTGATTTCAATCTACATTTCTCGACACCATGGTAACCCATCTTGCAGTAGATGCAGAATGTGTACTGACAAGCCTGACATGATCCCATGCCATTCTTCCTGTCCATTATGACGGGGCAGGCACACCATGGACGAGGGCAGTATGCAATGTCAGACATGGACTCAAGAGACGCCTTCAAAAGGAGTCTGTCATACCTTTCAAATGTTTCTGCATCCACTAAACTCTTAACCTGATCAATATATTTAAACAATTAACATTATAGTTAGGGTTATAACAATCTACATTTTCAATCTATACTATAACAAATTAGCAATATCACGATTGTAAAGCTCAAACTATTATAAAAATTAGCCCAAAACATGATCAACAACAACAAAAGAATTGTAAAATTGTAAATGGAAAGAATTATAGCATATCTAACCATGGAATGATTAATTTCAGTGGAGCACTTCTCAGCAAGGCACTGCAGTGACTTCACATTTCCATCTTTGATTTGTACATCCAAAAAGCTTTTTAAACAATCTTTGCAGAAAATGTGACCACATCCTGACAACTTGAGGCACATGTACCCTGATTTTTCACAGAAACAAATCTGGCAATCGTGAATGCCACAACAAAATTCTTTTTCCCTCCTTCAACATTTGTTTTAAGTGCAGTAATAATAGTCAATCGAAGTTAAATTGAAGGTTTTAAAATTATGAGCATATGTTTTAAACTAAAATTATTGACAAAAAATGTAATAAAATTTTAAGAGTATATATAATCTATAAAAAACTCAGGACCGAAATAATGTTGTGAAAGCAAAATTTATATTTAACATTGAGTCAGCGTAGATAAATACTTATTGAAGAGCTCTTAGTCATCAAAACAATTTCAAAGTACCTCTTCAAATCATATTCCGTGAGTTTTAAAATTTTATCTTCACTTTGTAAAAGAGGAAATTTAAGCTTCAAAATGTTTGATGTTTCCGTTTGGAGCACAGTCAGCCAGTTGTAGAGTATGACGAAGTTGTTGTTCGTTTCCCACATAGCATCAAGTGCAGCGCGTAAGGACTTGATCTGCCAATGATGATGCAAAAGATTGAGGTTGACATGAGACAGTGAATGCAACAAAAAAAAATGAAGATTACAAACTACACGGTAAAGATAATGCAGCAAAAGAATTGTTTTAAATGGCAAAACTAAATTTTGAATACAAAGCAAATACAGAATAATAAAAAAACTTATAATCTTTATTATCCTTAAAAGAAATTTTTTGAACGAAGTTACAAAGTAAAAATTTAGTCAGGTTAACATTTGATTAGGCTACTTATTAAGATGTACATAGTATAATATTTTTGTTTTTAGCTTGAAATTTGTTTGCTGTTTTGTAATTAACAAATTAATATGACAATAGTAATGCAATAACGATATAATTAAGATTTATCAATACGATGAATTAAATTATATATTTAGCATCAACAATGGACCACGTGATGAGTAGTAACACAAAATTGGATTCAAAATGTGCAATAAAATCATGCTGAGTCCAATGTAAATAAATGTACAGCAACTTTTAAGTAAGCTTGCTGAGACTAGAGAGCTGTCCGATACAAACAAATAAGCAGAGAATTGTGAGTGATACAGATTTTATTTTAATCGGAACGAATGAAAAAGTTAACTCAGTCTAATAGTCAGTCATGTCGATCTCAACATTTACAAAATGTCAGCCCAAAAAAATGTTGAAGAGAGCAGTTTAGTGCAATACCTCTCATATATAGATTTATATAAATATATACTATTCAGAGTGAAATAGCAATGGAATAATTTAGATTTTAAAAACTCTAGCTAGATTGTAGTATGTAACATTTAATACATCACTTCTACCTACTGTAAAGGCTTGTTCAAATGAGAAATCATCTGCAGTAACAGCAATCTAAATAATATGAAATGAAAAATTATATGAATCTTAAAAACTCTGGATAGGCCATAACACATACAAACATAGTAAGTACATTGGCCATACAAACCTGTTCTGCTGTCAGCCATAGGCAGGACAGTGTGTATGTTGGTGGACACTTAGATGGGTAGTCGGGGGGTAATGTAAAGGTTAAATAAATTGGGGACAAACGGTTCAGTACAACAACATTTTCTGAAACGATTTTTTTATTAAATTATTATAAAACAATAAATCATTACATACAAAATTTAACTATTGTCAATACAATAATTATAAATTTGATTAAAAACTAGATTAATAAAAATAAATATACAATGTGAAAACTTGTTAATCACCCTTATCTAGAATGTTGCAGGACACTGTTATGGGTGATGAACTATCTGGAAAATTAATTTCAACATGTAATCGGCCTTCATACGGTTTTTTATCAACGTCACAATGGAAACTTCGACCATATATACTTTTCAAAGCTATTATTTCATCACATTGATCCATTTCATCATTTTCATTCATCTTTTTATTGACGATGTGTTTGTTGAGAAACTAGACAGATGCTACAAGAAAACATGAAATGTAATTTTATGAGTGAATAAAATTATTAATAATTCAATAATTTCTGTGAAACATATTCATCATCACAGTTTAGAATTTTAGATACACACATGCATAAATTCAAGTAATGAGTTATTACAAAGTGTTGTTATTGATAATACAGTTGTGTGTGTTGCACATATGATCATTAGATTTGTCAACATTTTTATTTTTATAACCAAAATTTTTTTTATAAAAATAAAATAACATAAATTAATAAATATTAAAATTAAATTAGCTTTTTTATAACAAATTATGAATATGACATATTTGTTAATGAAATTCTGGTAAAAATAAAAACATTTGTTTGCTGCTATGCCATGCAATTCCATTCAGTATTCATTATTCATCCAATAAATCTATTGGTATTGGGCGATTCTCACGATTTACACCGTTCAAACGTATTCGCTTGCTCATGATTCGCACACCTTATAGCATTTCAACGTCGAATTCGATGTGCGGGTGCCTCACAATTTATAATATCAAGCATCATATTCACCTGCGATTCACACGCCTTCTTAGCATTACGGCCCCACGATTTATAGTTTATAGCATTAACACATTCAATTCGGCTATGCGGCCTTATAGCATCTTAACGGCGTGTTCGCCGTGCAAATCCGCACGCCTTATAGCACTGACCATATTCATCCTCCTGCCTACTGCAAGCAAAATAAAAAAATAACTAAGCAATCTGGCCTATTAAATTAGTCACTAAATTAGTGAAAAAACAAAATTAAAACTTCTCAGAAAAAAAGATTTTTCAAATGAATTAAAACTTGCATACTACAATTATTACGAATAAAGCTGCCGAAACGAACTGAAAAAGTTAACTAAATTCATAAGGCAACACTACTTTGCAAGAGACGACTTTTAAAAAACAAATGTAAATCTAATTTGAAATAGCGAGGTGGTGACCGAGTCGAGTAATTCTATATATATGAGGGTGGAACGTTGCGCAACTTTTTCATGTTATTACAAAGGAAATAAATTACAAACTACAGGACAAGAACAACAAATATTGCTATCAACAACGCAAAATTTTCGTAATAAATTACAAACTTTAACTAAAGGAAGGAGACTCAAAGAATAAATGAGTATAGTGACGATGACTGAATATTATAGTTTATTGGTTTTATATATATTATATATATATATATATATATGATTGTATATATGTGTGTGTTTGTATGTGGGTATGTGTATATTTTTTGATCTTATGGTATCTGAATATATTTTTTCTTTCTTTTGTTTTTTTTAATATGTTATAATAGAATTATTTCTTTTTTATATTGTGGTTTAAATGTAATTTTTTCTCTGTAAATCGGCAATTGGCAGTTGCCCGTGATTTGTTTAAATAAAAAAAAATAAGCTGTTCTGTTGCCCTCATATACACTCATCTCATCAAGTTAACCCTGACCAAATTTCGTGTGGTCGACCTTTGCAGATGCAATTAAACGTTGGAATAATTTTTTTATGATGAAAAATAATGCGAGTTGAGAGCATACAATCGACAAAAGAAATTTAAAACCGATGTTGGGCGTGCTTCTTTTGATTACACTTGATTACACACAAACTCATGTCCTACCTACAAAGTTTTTTAACTGCTTTTAATACGAAGCTCCAATCATGACTTTCTAGCGCATTGAAACTTGTTATATTCAATAATCAATTTTTAATTTAATTTGAATTTTCCAATTCCAAGTGAGCGCTATCAAAGAGTACAGTAGAAAAATACTACTTGCAGAATGTTAAATAGTATTTTCGATATTTCAGTAGAAGTTGTTTTTTTAAATTTTTTAGAATCTAAAATAAAAAGTTGAAAACGGAAAATGTTATCCTCCTCCTCCTTCTCATCATCATCATCACGTGACTTCCAGAGGTGCACGCCGTTTGCTGAGCTGTATGGTGCAGCAGAGGCAGTTTATTTCCTCACAGGACTGGCACTTACAGTTGCATGAACAAAAGGCAGACTGTCGTGAAATGGTAATGAATGAGTTATTTATACATATATATATCAGTATATAAGTATAATATATATAAGTATAATTTTTGTGAAAAGTAGTTCATTTTGAAGGAGTGGATGAAAAGTAAAATAAAACAAAAGATGAAATGTGAAAGAAAATAAAAATAACCGAGAATAGCGTAAAAATAAAATGGATTAAATCGTGAAAAAACTTGAGCTAAAATAAAAATAAGTTGTACAAATTACGGACAAAGTTGTAGTCAGAATTTAGTTTTAATGCAAACCACAAATTTACATTTATTAATATAATTGAATAGTAGATTGTCTAGCTATAGATCTCGGTTGCATTTGAATACTCATTCCCGGTAAACTTCTAAGCGTCTGTTCCATTGTATTTGCTAAGTTATCAGCATTATCTCCTTTCTCATTAGTTTCGTCTTCATTTCTTATAATTGGAGTCATCAGACAACAGCAGCAGCTAAAATCATTATAACTGTTTGTCTGACAGTGACAACCACACTCTCCACACTGTCGAGTGAGCATTTTTCAGTTGTAAAAATAATATAAATGTTACACTTAATTCAAAAAATAGGCAATCAAATCAATGTCAACAATTTCACATAAACAAAATCATGAGTGTGTATATAGTGACGAAAAAAAGTTTATTTTGTCAGTTTAACATCATTTGAGCATTTAAATCTTTAATCAATCAATCAATCAATCAATCTTGTTCTATTTGAAAATGACAAAAAAGTATTATAAGTATAATTTTGAAAATCAGTTGAAAATAACACATTTCGATTTATTATAGCGAGACAATTTATATTATAATATTCAGTATTGATATTTGAATATTAAGTAACAAGACACAAGATAATTCACTAACGTCACACACTGGCTCATTACTATTGCAACAAGCATCAGGTCCGCAACACTGGCAGGTCACCACATCAGAGAAAGACAAGTTCTTTGAATAAATGTACAATTTTCGATTTCTTTTCATTTATAACTCAAATATGTGATTTTCAGATTTAAAAATTGATTTAAATTTATCCTTTTAATGTATTTTAGATTTGCTCACCTTTCTTGCAGGGCATATTGAATCAAGGCAATTGTTAGGATATTCACAATTACAGGACTGATTCAACTCCAAACAGCATGGACAGCATGGCTCACCTTCAATCCCGCAACAGCTGTACGAGGCTTTGCATACACCTTTTGACTGCAGAAAACAGAAAAAATTAATCATAAATTTCAGTTAGGAAACTTTTAAAAATTATTATTTAATTAATCTAAACGAATAGTAATACGTGAATATAATTAAAATGGGGTAATCTTTCACTTTACATTGGTTTATTGGTTGGTTGGTTGGTGGGTAATTTTTGGTAATCTACTCTAGCAGACATACTAACTTTTACAACATAATTTGTTTGTTTATGGTAACCCTAACACTTTTCAACGTACCCCACAAAATTTCAATATCGTTGTTCATAAGGTAAAAACGATGTCTTCACCCACTTCCTCACTATTCTAACAGACAAGATACTAACTTTTACACATAATTTGAGTCCGATGATCTTTTTTGTTCTTTAAAATTTTAAATAAAGATCCTATGGTGATTTGAATGCATTGAGAATAAACCAACTAAAAGTGAAAGATTTTTTAAAATAGAATTGATAGATAAATTGATACAATTACAATGGATAAGCATAAGAAGATAAGAATAAGATACTTGATGATACTAACAACTAGAAGAGACCTAATAAAAAATATCACCAGCAATAGAAAAAGGTAAATCCCAAACGAAATGCAGAGAATAGCCGAGATGGGTAGATCTAAATTATCCGTGGTCATGCTAAGAATATTTATTTAACTTCATTTTGTAACAAAAAATTACATGAAAATTATACGAAACAAAAAAATTTCTTGTCAACGTTGCTATAGAAACAACATAAGCAAATAAGTCAGTAAGATGGTTTTAAATAGATAATATATAGATTATCATATATAATGATTACATTATACATTGTAATTAGTATACTATAGATTATATGTTATAGATTATAATATCTAATATAATGTAAATTATTATTCTATATAGGTAAATTTATAATTTCTTTATTTAAACAAGGCACTGTTTATAAAAATATTTGCAAAGTTAACATTATATATATATATATATATATATATATATATATGTGTGTGTGTGTGTGTGTGTGTGTGTGTGAGAGAGAGAGAGAGAGAGAATGTCAGTGTGTGTGTGTGTGTGTGTGTGTGTGCATGAAATTTAGAAATACAGGAAAATAAAATAAAAATAACAGCGTAAAAAAATTTGATAACAGGTTGTTCTCACATTCAGTTAATTAATATTTATATTAAAAAATATTGCTAATACTCTTTTCTAACAGATAATCTCGGCATTTAAAATCTGCCATGTTGGAATAATCTAAACAAAACATGCAAGTATAGTATATAAATATGTGTATCAGTGAAGTTTGTAAATTCGTAATTGTTCGTGAAAAAAAGTTAATTAAATAATTGAATACTGTTAAAATAAAGATTAAGGGCACATAAATGAATTTTATAAAATAGGTTATTACAAAACAACAATCTATTCTTTAATGTTTTCATTCTTCTCTTCAATGCTACCTTTGCCTTTAATGGATTCCACATCCGAATACAAATTACCGTGATTAATGATGTTGCTGCTGAGTTGAGCCACAAACAGATTGTCAGGTTTCAAATATCCATCGTCATAAATGAGCTTTTCGTCAAGGGGACCAATTGCATCGTAAGTCTCGTCAATGTCTTTTGTGTTTGCACATTTCATTAAATTTTGCTCGTTATTCAAGAGTTCAGAAAAATTCACTGGCTGCAAATATAAACCATTTTGGTTTGCTGTCATAGCGATTAATTCCATCTTGCGCGTCTTGAATCTATACCTGTTCAAATTAAAAAAAAGTTCTTTGCTACATTAGTTTGCGTTTGAGTAATTTTTGTTATATTTACGTCAACTGTTTATTAAATTTTATAAAAATATTTAGGCAAAAAGATTAATTTAGTTGTTTCTTGGTATGGAATCAATTTGTGCATTTTGGTCCGTTCGTAATTACAGCAGGTAGAAATTTTTTCATTTCGGGAATATATTTCAACTATTTTTTGATTCATATATAGTGCTTCTGCTGATTAACAGATTTGAATGATGGATAGTCATTAGCTTGAAAAATTATACACGTATGGGTATATAAATTATACATTATATTTTACACTATAAAATATAATAATGAAGCCCTGTATAAAATATGAAGGTTAAACATTCAACTATTGATTTATGATTCAAAAATGAAAGATTCATTAAATTAAAAGAAAGAGACCTCTTAGATATCAAGCAAGCGATGGCAATGATGAGGGTGATCAAAATCAATCCAGCAGTGGCAGACCAAATCACAGGTTCGAGTTTCGCTTTTAAGTTTAAAAATTATGAATTTTTTAGATGCTTTTTAAGGATAATGCTGTAGAAAAACATTTCAAAGTTAGTTTTTAAACTATTCCAATTAACATTTTTACTTAAGCTGTACCATTTTCATCAGGATCGTATAATTGAAGGAGCGTTTTCGAAAACAGGTGCGTGCACAATCAAAATTATTTTAACGAAAAAAATATTTTCATGAAACATTTAGGTGCCTATTAACGAGATATTTGAAACATTAAAAAAATCTTACAATGGTTATTTACGACATATTCTCCAGAACCAGTGACGAATTTTTGTGCTTCAAAGACAGGTTCGGAATGTAGTGACAGATCTTGAACTGTTTTGAAACATTTTCAACTATTAAAATTTAAAATATATCTAAGATCAACATCTAAAAAACAACCAACCATGTTCACCCGCAATAAAACTTTTATGAATACTCTTTATTTCTGAAACACAAAAAAGTTGAAAAATCTAGAATCAACCTATTGCATTGCGAGGGAATGTCGGAGAAAGTGATGAAGATGTTGATGGAGGGAGGAATGGAGATGTTGATGGAAGAGAGGTGACGTCACTCAAGCATGTCCATGTTACAATTTCATAGTCGCACCTTGATATAATTCCATACTTTTGGACATTAATTAAGCAAGAACTTCTTTTAGAACATGCATTTTCAATTTGTTTTTTGCGGTCGTAGTCTGAATTTTTTTTTTCATCATTCCCATTCGGACAGCATTTAGTTTTCCACATGCGTCTGCACGATGAGTAGCCTTTCTGCATGCTCAGTATTCGAATTTCATGACCGTCTGGACAGTGCATATGGATGAACTCACCAGAACAGTTGCTTGCTCTTAGAATTAGCTCAGCTGGTATTAATAATAATTTTATTTACTATTTAATAAATAAATAAAATTAATTTGATAAAAAGTTTTTTCTATTTCATTTAAACTAAATTTCACAGAGGACAGAGGCAGTCTATGTATAATCTTTTTTCTATTTTATAATTCTTGAAGTCGTAAACAATTAACGTTAGCTAGCTGTTAATTTTATTAAAAGTTTAGATATTACACGTTAAATTGATGAAAATCTATGGAAGAAAATTGAAAAGACGAAAAGCCACAATCTCCAAAGCAAAAACATTGACAAATTTTTGTTCTTACAAAATTCTGAGTATGTAACAGACACAGCGAGACTTCAATACAAGAGCGTAAACAAATCGTGTGGAAATCCAACTATCGATTTTAAAAAATTTACAAATGTACATTTATAAGAGTGGATAATTTCAGATATTTCCGTAAAGTATTTTGAAAAGCTAGAATATCAACTGAGACATTAACAAAATTTGAAGTACTATACTTATATTATGGCGATTATGTATGGGAGTTTGGTTAAAAAATTTTAATATTTCAATTTTATGAACATCACACGCAAAACTAATAACATCTAAATCCACGCATATTACTAATATTAGCCAGGATAACATTAATTGAAAATTCACAAAGCAATCAAAGCAAAAAATATATAATAATTATAACAACACGTGATACAGTGGTGGCGTACTGCGTTTTAAAAACTGATAACAATGTCGGTGCGAACTTGTTTGCGCATCCATTTTGTAGTAAGTAATAACTACACATTCTATACATTCAGGATGTTGGCTGTTTGTTTTGTTAGCTGTAGTAATTGCATTCTCGTTTCCCATCATTCTAGCATTTGAAACTATTTATTATCTACCTCTGTGTCGCACTGCATTCTGTAAACAGGATCATTATTTTAATACGTTCTTTGAAATGTTCAATGTCACGACGGCTATGTAGCGAGTACCAGTAAATTCAGATTTTCATTTTAAATTTTAGTGTCATTTGACTTCAACTAACATTAACATTTCTACATAGAAAGTGATAACGATAAATTATTTCATAATGGGAAATGTTTACTGTTTTTCTTTATTATTATTTTTCTGAGTTTTTTTTCATTTATGCGAAAGGCATGTCAAAAAAAAATCAAATTTTCAAAAAAAACGAACATTTACGCCAAAAAATTTTGGTGTAGAAAACTGAATATTATCTTGAAAACTTAAAATTACTAAACGTCGAATATTTATTTCTTTTTCTCATTAAACTAGGCTTTCATGTACTTTTTAAAAGAACAGTTTATTTTTTGATTCAGCGTTTTTTGAACTTTTCCATTTTTCGTCTTTTTCAACTTAAGTTTTTTTCCTTTTTTCTAACTTAAGTCCTTTTTCAAGACTAAAAATCCTAAAAAACTTCAAAATTTTCCGAACGTTTCTAGCCTTTCAGTTTCAATGCTAAATGATTTTTAAAAAAATTTTCACGATTTACCAATAGATAAAAATAAGCTTGTTAAAAACGAATCGTATTGATTTAAGGAAATCAGTGTACGCTATCTTTGCTATCCCATATCAAATTCAGCTGAGCAAATTATTTTAACTTGTAAAAAACAATGGACTGAAAACATAAATTGTATCTCAAAATGGATACTGTTAGAAGTTTGGTACAGGTTAAGTTCAATTTTTCGTCAATGCTTTAAAATACAAGCTGAACTAATTCAATCGAGCATGTGTCATGCATTAATTTGAATGTGCTATCGTTTTGTGTGCTATTTCAGTGAGCCTTTGTCAATTCGAACTTCTTGCGAAAAATGTTTTTAACTGAAAATAAGTGGAAATTCTATTTTAAATAAATTTCTTCACTGCTAAAGGGTTGGAAAAATAAACCAAGTATAATTCAATGAAGAAACATTAAAATTGAATAGATGAAGATAGGATGAGCAAATAAATATTAATACAAAAACCTACCAAAAAATTATCGTAGTACTTTCTGTTTCATAAATAACAATTATCTTTAGACAACAATTTCGCTTAGTTTTATTCCTATTTGAGCAGCTACTAAAAGTTGTTATCTAATTAGGGTAAAGTGTTCTATCAAACCAATTAAAAAAAATTCCGTTTATTGTCGAGGTAATTTTCTATCAAATTTTACTTTTGAGCTTTAACGTTTTTTTGGTTAATTACACAGTAAGGTATTTTTTGGCAGAAAAATATTCAAAATAAAATTTGTTTTCAATATTTTTAAATGCAGAAAAAACCACGAATACCGTTATCGTAAATTTGTCTCACGTGAAAGGCAGTGAAATTAGAAGTACACTAATAATGAAAAATAAAATATAACATAGCCAAATGACGACATAACAGGATGATATGATATAATACCAAAATAATAATGTGATAAGAGTTTGGCTGTAATGTCATCCATAGTTGTTGCAAGCTGATCTAAAAAGAGCAGAATGAAGGAATGAAGAATATTTTAAATTCGAATCTCATTAATTGAATTACATATAATTCAAAAGACAAACAATTTCATAACGTGACAAACATTTTTGAAGTTTGGCTGCTAAACAAACTTTATAACGTGAGAATGAGAATATAAATAGACGAATTTATGAGAAATATGGATAGAAATAGAGCTAAAATAATATAGCCCAGCAAGATAATAATTAATTCTTAGAGTAAAATATAATTAGTTAAATTGGCGGTTATCAACACATGGTTTGTAATTGTGGATCAAATGATGATTTTCCAGAGCCAGAGATCGCACTAAAATAAGATTTATTCGGTTATACTTATACTGTTTGACGCGAAAGGAAGAAATATGTCAAATATTGTGACCAGAATTTGTACATTTGAACCTGGTCAATGCAACCAAGATCCAGACGCTCAAATAAATTAAGCACCATTTATCCAACTTTTGTAAAATACGAAGTTGTGATTTCCATTAATAATTTTTGTTGGAAAAAATACAAAGTATTGAATTTGTTTTTTTTTGTATAAATTAATCTAAAAATTATACTTGAAAATTTTTACAGTAAAAATGGAAACTCAGAGGTAGAATTTTTTTTAATGTGTTTAAAACTTTAAATGTTAAAATTTTACTTAGATTTAAGATATAAAGTTGACCAATTTACTCTGCGTTTTACATGAAATTCTGCATAGTTAGATAAATTTTCACTTGGATGGACGAAGATTACGCGAGGAAATTCTAACAAAACCATAAATAAACAACATCAGACGTTGTTATATTGCTTAATGTAAAAAAGCACAAGGCTTCAATCTCGTCTGTATGATTTACATTTACACGTATCAACAACATTAAACCTCGCATCTTACACATGCATACGATAGGTAGGTAGAAATTCTTTTTGCATTCGAAGCTGGTCAATGCAAAGCAGGAAGGAAACTTTAACCATTGCACCCTCTCAAAAAGCCAACCTGCTCATAAAGTTTGTTTTTTCTTTGACAACTGTGTTTTGTTTCGAAAGACATTTTTATTTCTGTTAATTCTGTAAAGAAGTCGGAGTAGCAGTGGCCATCATATTTACATCGCTTATAAAATCATCATACATCATCTTTAAACCAATCTTGTAAAAATTATATTAACAAAAGACAACAGACTCTAAAAGCAGATACAGTCACTGAAAACCGTTCTATTGAAAAAATGTAAAGATTCTATATCAACAAATTTCAAACTATCTGCTTTTGTTCAAAAATTATGTTAATGTCGGTAAACAATTGCCAGCTGAACAAACAAGGAATGAATTAATCAAAATCGTCGAGCAATTTGAACGTTGGAGTTACAAACTTTAATTGTGTGGTCTGTTTTTAATTGTATCAAGTTTTATTTGTACTAAAATTTAATCTTTTTATACAAAAAATATAAAAAACTGATGCAAAATAATATTTAGAAAGAGATAAATAATAACAACCTGACGCCTTATCTAGATTTTCTCCTCGGAGCAGATTCAAATATGACAAAACGAATAAAGCAAATAGAAACATCATAATTGTTTAACAAACAATTAATGCCGAATTAAAATAACGATAAACAACAATATAAACATACAACAATCAGCTGTTTCGCAGCGATGCCTTTAAATTAAACAAACCCAACCGAAGCATTCCTCATATGAACCATGTGAATGTGTGCGTGTCAGACCACTATACTTACTTGCTCATATACAAGCTAATGTGATGGAATGCTATGTTGCGGTGATGCATGCTATATCACGTACTTATAATACATATGTATATATGTTAATTATATAATTATAAATAAATATATATATATATATATAGCCAAGTATATACTATGCGTATATAACTAAATATAATTTAAAAATGTGTTTTGTCAGTGCAGCCTAGCCCACATGGCAACTAAATCGGCGAGAAGTGGTACAGTTGTACTTTTAAAACGAAGCTCAATTGTTTTTCGTTATATTTGTTTCCTAAAAAGCTGGGAATAAAGAAATTAATAATTAGAGGAGTATCCTGAATGGTGTGGGAAACGGAAAAGGATTAAATGTTAAATTGTTAAATGGCTTAATTTTGGTGAACGACCATGGCGGTACATATTTTTAAAATATTATTTCATCATTTTTTGACAGTAGTTTACCAATTTTGAAACGATGTAAATGAAAAATAAAGTGACTCATTAAATTTCAAACCATTCATCAACGTAAAAACGAATGGTTTAAATAATTGCAGATATCTTTTTTTGGTGACTGAAAATATTTTATTTACTGCAAATGATGTGAGCGAAATCAAAAAATCTTTAAGTGAAGCGGTTTAACGTTAACGTAACCGTATATTTTCTTTTTAATCTTTATTATTGCAGCTCTGACATACGCAGAACCACTTACAATGCTACGGATATATTATCTATATAGATATAGATAATATATATATATATATATTATATATGATAATATATATATATATATATATATTTACAATATTCTATAAATTCTACCGAATGTTTGGCGTTAATATGTTTGTAGTTCGTTCAAATTTATAGAATATTGTAAAAATTATGGTCTATTACCAACATATATATATACGTTTTTTCGATTTTTCTCACTAAAGTTTTTGGTGAACGTTTAGTTTATTAAAATTCAAAATAAACTTATTTTTTGAATTCATGCTGCAAATAAGGCCATATTTCGATTCCGAATGAATCATCATCAGTGCTCCTTGCTGTATATATAGGGAAATATTGACTTTGTCAAAATGAACTTTGACGTTGTAAAAAATTAACTTTGGTGTTTTAAAATTGAACTTTGATGCGAATTAGGTGTCAGGTTTCTTTATTGGCTGGTCATCTTCTTTGGTCTCCTTTTCTTCATCGATAGCATCATATTCTTCTTTGTCACTATTTACAATTACTTCTTTGTTTTCGTTGTTGGTTAAGCGCCGAGCTGGAAGTGAGGTTGTCATTTTTTGTTGTATATTTATTTATATTGTTGTATATATATATATACATTTTATTGTTTTTTTAAAATTTTTATTAAATAAATTTGCAAATAGCTATTTCGAGTTATAGATAACTCATCTTCAGTGCATTATATATAAAATATGTAAGATATTTGATAAGAAGGTACAAGTAATTATTAATTTATATAAATTATTTAATTAAAACAAAAAACCAATAAAATAAATTTAATAACTATAAACAATATAAAACGCGATTTTAAAAAATTTTAACGGCAAGATGAGTTATTTATAGCTCGAAATAGCTATTTGCAAATTTATTTAATAAAAATTTTTTAAAAAATAATAAAATGTCTAATTTCTCTGAAATTAATAAATTAAAAAGAAATATAAAAAAGTTGAACAATGTTGAAAGTAGTGTTGAATTTTTGAAATGTTGCGTTAACAACAGTCTGTTACCAATATATATATATATATATATATATATATATATATATATATATATATATATATATATATATATATATATTAGAACATTTAAAAAAGAACTAAAAACATGTTTGTTCACTGTTAAACTTTGATAATTTTAGTTAATTTTATTTTCTTATTAATTTTATTGAGGACTTCTATGTTTATATAATTACGATAGCGCCTTTGAGAACATTTAATTGGTGCATATAAGTTTCCTATCGATTGATTGATTGATTGATTGATTGATATAAATATATATATTATTTTTTATTGTGATCTTCATATCTTCATTCACTGAATTGAAGCAGCCATCTTCGCCGAAAGCACACAACATCATATACGCTGAGTATATGATAGCCATTGAGATGTTTGTCTCTGCCTGCATTTGAACCATTGAGCCATCTAGCCGGCCAAAATGCGACAACTTACGTCGTACCCACATTTACCGACCTAGGAAGGATGGACGGCTGGGTTGGCCGGAGGTCGGCTAACCGGATAATACTGCAGAAACTACAGGATTCGGACCCGGGACGTGGGGGTAGTAGACGGACACGCTAACCACTCGACCACGAGACTCATATCTGGTCATCCAGCTTCTTTTTTTTAACAAAATGCAAAACTTGTTTCAAAGGATGAGTCTATATGTATTTAGTGAGAAACTACCTGCTTGATTCATTTTATCAGCGCTACATTTAAAAAAAATTGAAAAACGGTGTGTTCAGTAGTGCATCATGATGGCTATTAAATATTCAAGATACTACATATCTAAACCGTAAGGATTTCTTCTACCAAATTATAAATTTTCATATTCAGCAGATTAGGATCTATAAAGAGACTACCAGCTTAATGCACTATATATGCTCCAGCTCAAATAATCAGCTTCACATTCAGAAAAAATAGACTATAGTGGTGATTAAAAATGCTATATTTTTGACCAATTAAAAATTCAATATATCAAAAACGTCAAAATTTCTATCACCAAATTTTCATGTTTAGGAGATTGAGTGCTACATGGATCTAGTATAAAAACTATCAGTTTAATTCATTACAGTAACGCCACATTCCAAAAAATTAACGTTCGTGCTTAGTAATGCAAAAAGAACACTTTTCGATTGATTCATGATACTATAAAAAAATCTTCGGAATCTCCGTTACCAAAATATACATTTTCATGTTCAGGAGATTGAGTACTATATGAATCTATTAAGAGACTACCAGCTTAATTCACTTTATCAGCTCCATATTCCAAAAAATAGAATTATTATTATTTATATTATTATTAACGGGGTTTAAAGTGGTTCAGAAGATTATAATCTGTGTAAGACTAATTAGATCTCCTAATATCCTATCTGTCCGAATTTGGCTTTGAAGCTGTTGAGTGAATTCACAGAGACTGCATCATCGCTTAGCTCGTTCCATGCGTTGACCACTCTACTGCTGAAAAATCTGCTCTTTATTTTTCCATCCGAGTTTTTGAAAATCTTAAATTTGTGTCCTCGTAGTTTATCACTGTTTACTAGCCTGAAAAATCTCGAGTATGGTGTTGTTTCTTTGTTCGTGATCAATTTGTATGTTTGGATTAGATCTCCTCTTCTCTGCATCTTTATTTTTCTAATGATGTTAAGTCGCATTTTTTCAATCTCATCGTATTCCATTTTCCCGATTCCTCTAACCTCTAATCATTCTTGTGGCTCTACGTTGTACTTTTTCTAAAACTTTCTTATCTTTCTGCATATATAGGCTTCATGCTGGAGCACACTACTCCAGATGAGGTCCGACAAGGGTTTTGTACAGGGCTTTATAATGCTTAGTATAAAATATAACAATAAAACTACTTGGTCGATTCAAAATATTGTTTTTAAAAAACTTTAAATTTTCCAATAACAGATTATACCTTTTTATATTTAGGAGATTTCCATTACCAAATTATACATTTTTACGCCACGACATATAGAATATTTTCTATATATATGGCCCAGGAGATTCCATAACTTTTTATTACGACAACTTTTAAATGTTTCATAAACTGTATTTACTATCTTTCGTGATTAATTTTATTTTGGAACTTTATTCTGGTCGGTGGATTTTGTTGTTGATTTTTATTATACAGTGTTACTTATCTGATATTTTTGCTCGCAAATAAATAAATTTAACTATCAGAAAGTTTCATTTGGTACAATTAAAACCGATGACATATAAAAGATTATGAAACCTCATTATCACAACCACTCATCCACTCCTCAATTCAACATTCAAGTCTGAGAAGAGAATTGAGAAGATTTACTTTACTTACTTTCCTTGCATGCTTGCTTTGAAACTTAGATTTAAATTAATTAAATAAAACGCTATGATGTACTTTTACTTAGTTAATAGCTAATCTTATGTTTATAAATTACTATTCTACCATCTATTTTAAATTTAATTATATTTATAAATAAAAATACTTAAATAGTTTTACTTTACTCTCAACTTTGGCTTGTAGTTAGTGGTCTGTTAAATAAACAAAAATTAATATTAAAAAAATCTAACTAAATCTAAAATTGAAAATTCTAAATGAGCAAGTTATTAATTGAATTGGAGTAGTACAACAATTAGTACTTTTTATATTCAATTGATGATCTCATTCACATACCTTCATACATAATGAAGCGTAATTTCAATAGTGGAAACATATCAGATGATGGAGATTGTGATTTATCAAACAAGCACAATTCTCAAAATGATTCTGACAATGCATTGGATTACTCAGCTGCTTCAGATCACAGCAGCACTGATTCAGGTACATTTGTCCAGCAACATTCAAATTCATCTTCTACGTCTGCAGTGCCTACCAATGCTAAACATTCTCGTTCAAATAATCATGGAACCAAGGTTTGGTTAATTTTTTTTACAGTAATAATTAATTTTAATAACCTTATTTCATATTTTGTTACCTGTTGAATTTTTTTTAAAAACTTTTCCGTGTTGTAAAAAATGATTTTCGGTTGTGATTTTGATTAGAATTTTGAAGAAGATGAGAGAAGAAGAATCAGACGTGAAAGAAACAAGATGGCAGCTGCTAAATGTCGACAAAAAAGAGTCGACCAGACAAATAGTCTCTTAGAAGTAACATAATTCTTTAAATTTTTTCAGTTTTTAAAGTTATTTTTACTTATATGTGTTCTAACCTAAATAAAATAAAACTAGACCCAGTGGATGTAAAAAAAAATTAAATAAAATATCTTGCTGGCTTCAACTGAAAACTGGATCAGGTTCGGTTCCGTTCTTGAGACAGGTTTAGAAGGTGAAATTGCTAAAATGTGCTGTAATAGAAGGCTAAAAATATAGGTTGTCAAATGCAGGCAGATTATAGTGATGGTAAAATATGGTAGATGATGGTAGGAGATGGTGTGGTGGGGTTGACATAAAGCTGTAGGTTGTGGAAAAGTTGACCCTTTCAGTTATTTGTCAGTTATATTCTGCTCTCAGTTGCTTATAATACTTTTCTGTTTCTTAAATTACTTTTGAAGATTAAATAAAATATTTAAATGATTTTTTATCTACTATATTAACAGCCTAAATGATAAAATTTCTTCAAAAAATAATTTTTGTTTATGTTTATTATTGAATATTATTATTTTTATAGGAAACAAAAAAACTTGAAGCAGTACAACAAAAGTTGAAGGAGGAAATTCAAAATTACGAGAAGCAAAAGGAGGAACTGGAGTTCATAATGGACTCTCATCTGTTGTATTGCAACATGAAACCAAAATATTCTGCAAGCAACACTCGCAAGACTTCCAACACACTGGCCCTTGATAATGAAGATGACTTGAGGTCTAATGCATCCATGCAAGTCAAGTCAGAAGATGATGAAACTCTGTTAAAAGTTGATATTAACAGTAAAAGACCAAACTTCATCAGTGACAACAATCCAACACTTGCTTTGAAATCAGAGAATGGAAAACAGTTTTTAATATTGCCATGCAACAATGTTTTATCAGAAAGTTTCAATAACAATTCTAATGATTGTTCAGTAGTTGCAAATTCTCTTTTAAGTGAAAGTGCAAGAAATGTTACTTCGACATCAGACACACACATTATTAATCCCACAAACAGCGACAATAATTTACTTGATGCTAGATTGATAAATGAGTTTTTACAGCAGCAGCAAGATCAACTACAACAGCTTCAACAAAAATTAGCTTCATCAAGACCGCTAACAGCTGTGAGACCAAATTATTTGCCTACTCAAACTTCACATTCTGCCTTAATGATGACCAGCTCGAGCGTCAATACCACCAGCGCCACGACTCCAACTTTCTTAGCAATTGGACTTGATTCAATAATTGATGGACAGGCGGCACTGACCCCAATGTCTGGCTTCTCACCATTTGCAGGTCAACCATCACAACTCCTCATCACGCCCATCATGTCCCTGCCACTTGATAATGTCCTCAGTGCCATCAGGACAAATGATACTGAAAACTGTGGTAGTAGTAATAATAATAATAATAATAATAATAATAATAATAATAATAATAATAATAAAGAATCTTTTGTTACCGCCCTTACTCCTATTAAGTCTGAAAAAATGGATCACTGATAAATTATGTTTTGCTTTTTTGTTACTTCTTTCATTTGTTCAAATTTTCGTTTATCATTTTAATGATTTGTATAAATTTAGTTTAGTGTTAGAAGTCCTTAATAACGTTAATTTCAGTTGGTGTTGATGTTTGAAATAAGTTGTTAACAGTGAATGTATGAACTCAATCACATGTTCTTCTGACCATCATATGCGCAAAAAAGTGCTTCCATCCCCATGCCGCAACACACTTGTTTGTGTACAGATTTGTTGGTTGTGCTGCAAAACAACGCTACACTACAATGCTGCTTGTATCATTGAATATGTACCATATTTGTTCTTGGTTGGATTGGCTGGTGCTGATTGTCTAATTCACTCAAATTTGTTTTTGTGTTTTTTGTTGTTTTGTTTTTTTGTTTTTTGTTGTTTTGTTTTTTTGTTGTTTCATTGTTTTCATGTTAGCAATGTTCCTTTCCTCCTCATACATGGGATAGTTTTTGGTTACTTTATTTTAAAACTGTATTTTTTTTTCTGACTCACAAACCTTACAAAATGTTCAATTTAAAATTTTAAAGGATTATTTAACTGGTAATCTATGTTGAAGGTTTATAAGAAACTGGATAACAACCCTAACTGATCAAATTTGTTCAATTTACAAATAAGTTGACAACTAGAGATTGCATGTTTGCGTTGTTTTTGTTATAATGTTCATTCATACGCCACACTCATGTCTGACATTGACTGCTCTGAATCATTCAACTACAATCATTCACTGGGAAACAGCAGGCTCTTTATTGTTCAGCTGTTTTTGTTATTGTTAGTTCATGCCTTCTTTATTATTCTTAGATTTCATTTCTTAATGTAACGCAACTAAACAGTTTCAATAGTTATCCATTTTTAGTGATTGAATATTTAGAAAGTTTAAACGTTAACTAAGCTAATGAGAGCAATATTGTAACATTTGTAAAGAGTGGTAATATATGTAGTAACTCTGCCAGAGATCCAGAGATGAAATAACTACAGACACACGCACGTATATACATAACACACACACACACAACACTCACACATGAACACACAAGTATGTTCATGTGTGAGTGTTGTGTGTGTATATATATATATATATATATATATATATATATATATATATATATATATAATATTTTTGTGAATTTTATGTTTTAAACCTACGTTTTGTTAATTTTGTAATGTTTTTAATTTACAATAATAATGGTTTGAAAACATGATTTTTTAAATCAAGATAATGAAAACGCCGGTATAAATTGAATTAAATGCTGATGGTGTTGACTATGTCATGATTACAGGCCTATTGATTTTGAAGAGATGTAACTTCACGGGTTTTTTAATATAGAATTTATAAACGGTAACATAAAGATCATTGGAAAAGATTTTTGGTACTTAAACTTTGCATTTGAAAACAAGTATAGGTCGTATGGAAATAAGTCCTTTGAGAGACTTTCCATTGCTGCTTATACCTCTGTTTAACGTGTCAAATGTTTCTAATGTCGGCTTATTATATGTGAGTCATTAATCACGGGCAATTCAGAAAATTTAAAATACCATAAGGAGTGTAAGGTTTTCTTGGTATATTAAACTTTGCTACTTGTACTCTATTATTTTAATCGTCTTTCGTAAGTGTATAAGATGTGCTAAATTTTTTTTTCTTGTCATGAAAAATTAAATTTTTGAACTGTAGTACTTAGAGCATATCATTAATGTTAACTTGAACGTTGGTAGAAATATTCACAATTGTTGAGCATCAACACGGACATATACGGTGCATGTTTGCACGCACATTGCAATTTTAAACACGCGCACATTTCCTTATTTGTTTACTGTATTTTACACAGACACAGGTTGCCTTATCCGTGTTACAATTTTTTGTCGTATATTTTTTTACATTTTGTAAAGTACGAAAGATGTATTTGCTCGTATTCTTGTGTCAGTTTACTTGTATTCTGAGGAGTACCAACAATCAGTTTGCACTTGGCGTCCATCCACCATTCAAATCTTTCAAGTCCACAACGCTTATTACCTGATGCCCGTTTGGCCCGTGATACAGACACTAAATAACGTGATACACGCAAATAAAAATTTTCTATAAAACATGTAACAAACTTCATTTTAATCATTTTCTTTCGCCTCGGTTTCAGAATGTCCACATTGTGTCGTTTCAAGAGTTTCGCGTTAATCTTTTTTATAAGCGCTTTTGTTTACAATGTAACAATAAATGCCTGGATGTGTGTCCATTCTCACGTTGTACAGTTTTATTGAAATTTCTTCACACAACACACAGGTAATTGATGGACGGACATCTGTTTAAATTAAAGTGACGGAGATCATTTTAGGATTTTGTCCCATCGTTGTCAGGCTTCATGTAAATTTTCCGAAGAAAATGGGAAGTTAATAATGTTTATTGATTTCGGTATGAATTTAACTTTTTATATATTTCGATTCGCTGATTTTTTTTATGGAGCAGATTGTCATTAATTACTTTTAAAAATAAAAATATGTACGTTACATTTTACTATTCATGAGCAAAATTTTGTTGACGGTTTCTGGATTTTTGTAATAAATGGCCAATATTAAAAACGTGTATCACGTCCTATGTTCACAAATTACTTACAATTATAAAATAAAATTATACTTTTACATTTTATAAAGTACGACATCGTATCTATTATCGATTTCTACTATTATGGTTAATTTCAATTGTCACTAGTTCTTTGGTAAATTTATGTTGGTAAATTTACGTTTTTAATCTTTGTTGTTTGTTATAATTTAATGGCAGTTTGAGGTCGCCACTCTTCAAATATTTCTTCGAAATAATAATAATAAATAATAATATATGTATGTGTTTATACGTGCTACAAATATATATAACGTTCATTTCTGCCATATTTTCAAATGATACTATTGTTGAGAGATAAATGAGTAAATTAATAAAACAATTGTTTAGTTCAATTTATTGACTGTGAAGAATTGAAATGGTGGTGGTTCTTTTGATTGTTGTTGGTTTCGTACATGTTGTAATGCCAGATAATGTATTTATGAATACTTCGCCATCATATTTTCTTTATCGTTTTTTTGCTATTATGTTTATTTGATTTTAATTGTCAATGGTTCTTTGGTAAATTCACGTTATGAATCTTTTTTGTTTGTTATAATTTGATGGCAGATTGACTTCGCCATTCTTCAAATATTTCTTCGAAAAAAATTTTCTATTTTTTCATAAATTCATGACAAATAAACGAGTAAGAACTTTTCAAATTCAGTTTAAGTTTATTGGCTGTCATCCATTGGCCTACTGCATTTACTGTATTTGTGAATATGTGTGATGATATTCTTAGCGACTTCTTGTAAGATTCATGATAAGAAACAAACACACTCACAAAAAAATTATTTAGATTCTGCCGACACTGATGCAAAAACAGTTGGGTCAAAAATTACTAGCGCCACAACTTTTGTTACTTTAGAGAAAACTTTCTTAAGATGCCGTAAAATAAATCCATAAATAAACAATATTTACAGAAACCATAAGTCAAAATTCTATTCAACATTTTTACTTAATTCGTAAAATTTTATTTGGCAAAGTTGTCATTATTTATCACTCGATAGTTACCGCAACTAATAAACTGTTACGAAGTTGTGCTGATGTACCATCAACATCACTGCATTATAAAAGTCTAAAGGAAACCCTTGAACAATTAGGTGAACGCATAGACATCACCATTTCACAACGTTAATAGCAAAGCATTCATCACAAAAATGTGTAAAAATAGACCAACAATAATGCATAACAACATGCTAAAGTTGCGATGGAAAAAAGAAAAAAAGAACATGACAATAATGCGATAAAAAAATTTAAAATCAAATTAATTCTTTTTATCTGAGATACAATGGCAAAAAGATTATTTGTTAATTATTTATCAAAACGTAGATCTAATAGCAGAAATTAAAAAGTAGCCAGTAGCCATTTTATTTCAGTTTCGCAAGAAGCGCCGCTACAAATTTCCTTAAATAATGAATGAACAAAAGTGGAGGCACCGCAGTCAACTTTAATGAAAAAACTAGAGCTCGCCTGATGTTAACAATCCTGGCGTGATGGTATTAAAATTTTTTTGTTACACAACCGTGGGAGGTCCGTGCAAGGTTCATCCTTTGTTCTGTTTATAATTACCAATTGATAAAGAGCTTTTTTTAATTTACGCTTTCCAGGTAGACTGAAAACGCGTAAAAAGTACATGTTTCATTATTTTTATGCTAGTCATTTTCTCTTCATTGTTTTGGAAATTATTCCACAAGCTCTTATTTTGGTTTGTTTACAGGCAAGTACTGCCAGTTATTGACAGCAATTTTTTATAAATGCTAGAGGAGTGCATTTAACGTTTTTAAATTTTTTTTTTCGCTGGCTAAATTTTTGCATAAAAACGTAAAAGCGTCAACAGAATACAAATCAGCTCGTTAGAATAAAACTGGAAAGAGAAAAGCATGTTATGTGTTTATTACGTGGCGATATCCGGATGAGGTGGTTGGTGTATTTCAAGCGGCCAACCGCAAATGCAGGATGTTGCAGATAAAACGAGAGAATATTTATACAGAAGCCGAACACAATGAATCGGATACAAAGAGAATCCGTATAAAATTACATCCCATGAATCAAACACTCTCTGGCTCTTACTGAAGTTTGCATTCATGCATTTTTTTTCATATGCAAGTAATCAGCGTCTCCCTCCACAAAGCGAGTTTTTTGCATGTATACGTTTTCGAAAGATCGTCACAAGCTATTATAAATAAAAATAATAATAATAAAATATTTGGAATAAAACAAAGTTAAAAAATTTTGCTGCTTGAAATAAAGCTGAGACAATGTTTGCAATAGAACATTCTCCTACTTGTTTAATAAATTACGTAACTATCGTGCCATTCGTCAACGTGCAAATCTACTCTTAATAAATTTTATTTAACTTTAACAAGTTACTACAATCTTCGCTGAACTA